TTTTCGAGGAAAGAGGGGCAGCCATCTGCTTCCTGCGATTCAGGATCCGCCACTGCTGAGGCACGAAGGAGAATGAGCTCGGCTGTGGATGAGAGTGAGCCGCTGGAGGATGACGTTATTTCATTAACATTGTCTGATCCAGGGGCCAGTGCTCTGCTGGAAAGCAGGAAATGTCTGAGGAGGGCAAAAAGCTGAGGCTGAGCTTTCCCAATCCTCCTGCCCTGCGTATATGAGCTTTTGAAAGTTATGGGTCACGCCACGGCGAGGCTTTACTTGCCGTGAAGCGGGTGAAAAAATATATATGTATATATTTATAAAAAAAAAAATGTATATCAAATCAATAATTTTTCTGGCCATAACCCTCCAGCTCAGGTGAGCCTTCCTTTCTTCCTGTTTTCCATACAGAGATTGAGAAGGAATGGAAGAGGCCGTTTTTTCCTCACGTATCCATCGATTCCAGCATACGAATTATGCCAACATCGAGGCGATGCGCGAAAGCGGTTATGAGAAGATGCCTCTATAGAGAGACGCTGGCCAGCTATCTCTCTATGGATGAGACGTCCTCTTTTAAGACTCCCTCCTTGACATCTCGCTCTAATGCCAGGGCATACGCAGCAGCAGCAGGTCGGGCTGTCGCTTCATTGCACACGATGGTGATGCCCCAAGCATATCAGGCTGGCCTACTGAAAGACCTGGATAAAGGCGTGGGCCTTTCTCCTAATGAGGTAGCTGAGTGCGGGCAAAGGTGCACTCAGCGGCCTTTACAAAGGTCCAGGTCTGAGCCCGAACAACCCAAGGGGTCCTGGCCCATCTCGGTTTGAGGATCAGAGATGAGCACAGAAGGCTAGTGTCGCGGTTTGTGCTCCTCCCCCGCCCGCGGGTAGGGGTAGGAATAATCGCGGGTCAAAGGAAGGTAAGTAAAAGACCTAAGGGATGTGATCCAGACGAGGCGTCAATGCTTTCGTCCGGATCAGAGTGATACTTGAGTATCTACTCATTTCCCTCAGGGGGTTTAACATCTGCCCTTATCTTCCCCTTCCTAATTCCCCTGTAACCACCATCTCTCCACCTGACCGAGGTTAGGTGGGAGTTTCCCGTATTACAGTCTCTTATGCTGGATCTATGATATTTTGGTTGGTTCTATGGCTTCATAGTGACCACCTTACTGATGGTCCAGACCAGAGGCTTCTTTGGACGGGGCTCCGACGCGGGAACCATGGTGTGTGAGTACGAAGAACCTTCTTGTATAATGCTGTCTCAGGCAGTGCTCCCCTCACCTTAGAGGGTTGTATTTGAGCTTGTCTCTCCCGTTTGGCTCAGTACTTCCGGGTATCTGTGAGCAGATGCTTGGAAAACTCTTAAACCCAAATACTATGGTAAGTGCACACGTTAAGCTTTGCACACTTTTCTACAAATCCACATAGGTGGTAAGTGTGCACGTTATGCTTTGCCCACTTTTCTAAAATCATGTATGGTAAGGGTTACGCATTTTTGATCTCGTTCCCTTTCTCTGAGTTGGTTAGACCCCGGTACCTTGGGCTCCACTCAACTAGTGTGTCTCTGTCAACACACTCTGGAAGCATCGCTCCTCTCACCATTGAGGGTTATTGTGAGTATGGTGTTTCTTTCGAGCGTTAATCCTCTCTGAGGAGTTGGGTTCCTCGCTCCATGGGCTGTCCTCGAGGTAGTATTGAGCAGTGCTCCCCTTTATCAAAGGGTTACCTGGAATGAGCAACGTTATTCCTCTGAATTCGGAGTTCTCCTCTCACATGAGAAGTTTGAGTTCTATGTTTCTCCAGAGCACCTGGAACCAGCAGCATCAGGTGAATTAGGCCCTTCCTCTGCCTCCCTGATGCGCTGAGTGTTTGGCTAGCTTGCAGTATGCTTACCCTTCTGATTTTACAATCATGCTGCAGGTCGAGCCCCCTCTCGTTGAGAGCTGGGTTTGTGCTCCCTCAGCCAAGGTAAACTACTGCTAGCCGTTCCAGCATTGGAACATGCTGTAGGTCGAGCCCCCTTCTCGACTGAGAACTAGGTGTGTTGCTCCCACAGCTAAGTAAATTATTGCTAGCTGTTCCAGCTTTGGAACATGCTGCAGGTTGAGCCCCGTTCTCGAATTGAGAACTGGGTGTGTTGCTCCCTCAGCTAAATAACTGCTAGCTGTTCCACCATTGGAACATGCTGTAGGTTGAGCTCCCTCTCGATTGAGAGCTGGATGTTTGCTCCCTCA